TTGTTGTATAAATAATATGTAACCTTTTAGTTATGCAATATGATATAACTAACAGATATTTAATCTTAACTAATAGTAAAAGATAATTAATTATAATACAAAAAGAATTTAAAATTTTTGCTAACATTGAATTTTGAACTTTAGACTTGCCACTTGAAAGTTGATAATATAACTATTTCACTATATTATTATGCTCTAATTTTGTAGTAGTTTCTTATAAAATATATTACTAAAAAGTATTAATAAAATTAAAAGATCAAAAAAATTATCTTAATATTAAAAAAAAAAAGATGCAATAAAAAAAAATTTTTTTTAAACTTAATTTTTTAAACAATTAAAAAAATAAGTTTTTAATTTTTATAAAACTATAAAATTAAAATTTTTGTTTTGTACTTTTTTATAACTACTTTAATGATATCAACAAACTTTAAATTTTTTTTTTTTTTTGCTTTCGCTAAGACTGATGTCTATTAGTGACTATTGTCTTTATTATGTATTTTTAATTATATATTAATTGTATAACTTGTACAAGGTAAGTGTACAACTAGCTATTTGTACAACTTTTGGTTATCTATTTTAAGTAGTCTGCCTGAAGGTTTTATACTAGTTGCTATCCCTATAATTTACTAGAAGATTACTTATTTAAATACTCTGTTCTTTTATACTTATACTAGTCGAATAGCTCCAAGACTTCTATACATTTAAGTAATGTTTAACCTGACATGTAACCACCCTTGTTATATATCTGTCAGGCTGTTACACATTTCAAAGCATATCACCTGACTATAAGACTCAGAGTGCCTTCCTGTTAACTAATATATTTATTTTTAATTATAGAACATTAATAAAATATGCTCTTGCAAAGTTCACTCAAACCTCAGTACTGACTTCACAGCAAATCTCTAATATTTATAGTATACTCCTGCTTTGAGCATTAGACTTCCAATTCAGATAGCCTAGTGGAACTGTAATCTGTTCTGGTATATTAAGTCTGGCCTAATATTCTTTTCTTATAGTCTGATTTTTAGCAGTCTGGTTGGTAGTACTCCTCATCTAGAGGTTCTGGCCTGCCTAATTTCTCTACATTAATATCCATTTTCTAGATTTAGCTTTTATAATAGTACTATTAAAGATCTGTATTACTTCTTTACTTAGATCTTTCCAAGTAGACTTTAGTTTCTCTAATTCTACAGATTTACACAGCCAAAGAACTTATCTTGAGTTGCACTATCTGGTACCAGTTTGCATCTTTTTATGTAATCAAGATTACACAAATGCCTCAGACCTACCAGTCATGCTGGTGCGACCATAGTTACAGGTATTCTAGTCCAACTGATCAACAGAATACCATTGCTATAATACAAATATTACATAGATGATTATCCAAATTTTGATATCCATGGGTTTTGAACTTATAACCTATCACTTGGAGGGTTGACAATCTGATCACTTTACTAGGTCATTACACCCTTTACAAACTTTAATTAATTAGTATTTTTTTAAAATTATAAAACAGTTTATTAAAATTAGGTTTATAATTATAATAATATTTTTTATAAAAGATATAGTAATTTAGTGAAAAAGATAAATTATTAATCTCTAAGTAACAGGTTTAAGCTTTAATTTTTATGAATAATGAATTTTAAAAATTATATCTGTATTATAGTAATTATTACTTATTGATTAGTTGGATTTAGGTATTTGTAACCTTAAATATACTAAGTTAGATCCTACTTGATATTAAAAACTTAAAACATCTATGTAAAATATAATATTACTTATATATAAAAAATATGAAAAATCAGTATTGCATAAAAACTTGTGATAAGACTACCAAATATAAAAAACTAAAAAACTAAAAAAACAAAAACTTATTTGAAAATTCTAAATAAAGAGATAGTACAAACTTTTAATAATAATATTAAAATAATAAAAATTTATAAAACATTTCCAAAAAAATTATCAAATAAACTAGATAACAGATATATAAAAAAAACACATATATCAATCAGACTGCCAAAATTATTAGAAAAAAAAATATATAAGTATATTAAACTAAAATATCTGAATTAGTTTTAAGTAGTAGTTAGTAAAGAAAAATGAAAATAATGTTAAAAAGATAAATACTAATATTTGAGTAAATTTTACAAAAATAAACATGTTTTAATAAATAATTCTAATTGCAAGTATTAGCTCTAACTATAGTAAAAAGTAAATTAACAATAAAAAAAATATAACTTATTCTGATAGGTTTGGCTTAAGGATAAAAATAATTTTATAAATTATAGTCTTAAGATTAAAATAAGAATTTAAGTACAAATGATTTAATAAAGTTAGTACAAAAGTTTCAGATCAGAGAGTTTAAATAAAATATCTAAACAAAGATATTAGATATAATAACTAGTAAGGAATCTTTAGATAAACTTCTTAAATAGGTAATATAAATAAGTTATACATGTAATTAGTTATATGTTTGTTGTAATGTCTAACAAAAATCAAAAAACCAAAGAGATTATCTTAACACTAATAAAAAAAAACAATATTTTTTATATTGAAATTTTGCAAAAAATTTTTTTTACTAATATGCAAAAAATAATTATATAGACAAAATTTTGAGTTATACTATTTTTTTAAAAAAATAAAAATTTTTGTTTTGTTTTATATTATATTTAATCTTTTAATTTAATTAGTCAATTACTGTTAATTAGTAAAAATCTATTAGTTTTACTAGAATAGTTTCTTTTTGTTATAAGCTTCCTATATAGTAGTTAACTAAAGTAAAGTAAGTTTTAAAGTTATCTTTTTATGCAAGAATGCAATTTATGTAGTATATAAATCATATATTAAATTAGCTTCACTTTAACCAACCCTTATATATATTATATATATGACAATTGTATTAAATTTAATCTTCATAATTCATCTATAAATTTTTTCCAGCATATGACCATAGCTAATTAGATTGAAAGATCAGGTGTAATGTAAAAATTATAAAATTTTATTTGTAAAACTGTCTTCTGCATTCTAATAAAAAAAATTTCTTGTGAAACTGTGATCTTTTTTATTCTTAATTCTAACTTTAAAAATAATGCTTATTACTTTAAAATCTTTTACTTAATTTAATTGTTTTAATTTTACATTACACTTGATCCTTCAATATAATTGGCCAAAAATCACATGCTAGAAAATCTTGTAAATGAGCTACTAATGGCCTTTTTACAATGTATTTATTAGTAAATTTGTTAGTATGAATTTTGTATTATAATGTGTTGTATTAACCTATATGCATGCACTAACTTGAAAATAAAATAAAAAATATATTATATGATATAATAAATTTAGAAACTCTTATAATATATTTTTTATTTTACTTCCAAGTTAGTGCATGCATATAGGTTAATATAATACATTATAATATAAAATTTGTATCTACAAATCTACTAGTAAATACACTTTAAAAAGACTTAATAGACCTTTTCAAAGTGTATTTACTAGTAGATTTGTAGATACAAATTTTGTATTATAATGTATTGTATTAACCTATATGCATACACTAACTTTAACTTAGAAGTAAAATAAAAAATATATTATGAGAGCTTCTAAATTTATTCTTTTACATAATATATTTTTGATTTTACTTCCAAGTTAGTGCACATGCATAGATTAATACAATACATTATAATACAAAATTTGTACCTACAAATCTACTAATAAATATACTTTGAAAAGGCTCAATGTCATTAAATTTTAACTAGGAGTGATGTTACCTAAACTATTTAGAATGTTATAAATTAAGAGAGTGGAGGGTATTATAATGCAGGTGGGTATTGTGATGCACTAGTGTTTTTTGATAATATCTCATGATATTATGATTAGAATTAAGTAATTTTGGTATCATTCGATTCCTCTTACTGAGATGAGTCGAATGATATTAAATTCATTTTATTTGAAGCACTAGTATTCAAGTAACATCCAAAAAACATAGATTTACTAATATTTTTGGCACCGACTCATAAAATTCTGATTCGACCTGACTAATCAAGTTAGAATATACATACTAGTACATACATACTATACAAAATGAAGTATATAATAAATAATTAATTTCTTATCAAAAGTTGGATATCAAAAAAATGAAAAATTCTACTATATACACTAAGTTCCTCATTTTTATACGAATAATAACAGTTGTTATAAAATTTTTTAAAACTAGAACTAAATTCTTCTATTGTAAAAAATAATTCAGCAAATTTACACATTTCAAAACCCTTAATTGTAAATCAATATTTATTTTTTTAGTCAAAAACATTATCCGCAGCTTTACTAAATCTCTTATCCATTAAAAGAATATAGTCCATCTTCACTAGGTCTTCAAAATAATAAACAACTTCTCCAAAACAAATAATAAAATCTTTAATTCGACTATATATCCTAATGTAAGCACAATGATCGTCAAGTGAATTGATGATTGTATCCATGACAAAGAGTTTCAAAAAATATTGTATAGTTCTTTTAAATTGTTCATAAAGAAACAGAAGCACATAGTACATCTGTTTTTTAAAGTCTGCTATGATATAAGTGTTTTTTATTAAATCATTGCAAAGGTTTAAAATCGGTTTGTTTAAATCTTCACTTTGCAAATCAAAATGATATAACATTCGAATTTTTTATTTTAAAATACATTGTCTAAACTTATTTATTTATATTTGAGAAATGCCTTTGTTTGATTGCAAATTTAGTTAAAATAATTTATTAACTACAGGTTTTTATTTTATTTATATTTGAAAAATGCCTTTAATTACAAATTTAGTTAACTGATTATAATCATGATTACTATTATAATTGCATACCAATGTGATCATGATCATAATTGCATACAATTATAGTCACGATTGTGATTGCATACAATCATAACTACAATCATAATAATTACATACAATTACGACCACAATCACAGTAATTATATACAAATACGACTGTGATCATGATTGCATACAATCATGACCACAATCATGATTGCATATAAACATGATTATGTAAATAATGAACTATTGACCTATTAAAAATATAAAAGATTGTAAATTCGCAATTAAAAAAAAAAAAAAAACATTAAATAAAAAAAAAATCAAACAAAATGCCAAAAGCACAGTGCAGCAAAAAATCCAATTCTCCAAAAATCGAAATCCAAAATCCTAACAATAAATTAAAAAATAAATTTAATCGAACTACACAAGAAACTGCCATAAAATCAGCTCTCAAAGTACTTTATAAACTCAACCCACCTAGTATACGAGCAGCCACATCAAGTTTCAGTCTTTCAGAGACAACTCTAAGATGTGTGTTTAAAACAAAAAGTGTACCTGACTGTTCCAGCCCTGCAACAGTCTTGAGCAGCTATGAAGAAGAACAATTGGTAGGTTATTATATAAATATGCAAAGACTAGGATTCGGTCTTACAAGGTCTGAGGTAAATCACTGCGTGATGAATATTGTAAATAGTGATAGCTGTAAGCATTCTTTTAATGATAGTAGACCTGGTAAGGCTTGGTGAACACGTTTTATGAAAGACCATTCTAATTTATCTTTTTGAGTGCCTCAAGCCTTGTCAAAGACATGTATACAAAAAGCCAATCCAACTATTATCAAAGATCATTTTGATAAACTAAATAAGATAATTCAAGATAACTTACTTACCTCAGATTGTATCTGGAATATGGATGAAACTGGTTTTGTTATAGTTCCCAAAGTTGAAAAAGTTATTACCATTAAAGGCTCACACCAAATTCATAAGGTTGCTCATAGAAATTTGCATGATCACATTTCAGTTGTACCAACAATTTTGATTGCTGGTGATTATATTCTTCCATTAATTATATACAAAAGTGTTCATGCAATTCTAAGTTTGTTATATGGTGCTCTATCTGGTATGGTTATAGGTTTTAGTGACTCAGGATATATGCATGAAAAACTCTTTCAAATGTATATCAAACATTTCATAAGTTCTATTACTCCTCATTATCCCATCCTTTTAATACTTGATGGTCACAACAGTCACATAAATTATATAAGTGTTAATTTTTGTCATGAAAATGGAATTTTACTATATGCACTTCTATCTTACATGACCCATATTCTTCAGCTATTTGAACTGCCTTTTGCTATACTCAAAACTGAATATAGTAAAAATTACGACCAGTTTTATCATGTAACTAGCAAGTTAGTAACTAAGTACACATTCGCTAAAATGTTTGGACCTGTATTTATTAAGACTTACACCCCTGCAACAATAGCTAATGCTTTCAGAGCTACAGGAATTTGATCCTTTAACCCTAATGCCATTAGCTCCCATTATCTTGATCCCTCTTTATTTACCGAAAGAATTGATATTTTACTTTTATTTTCTTAACAAACTAATTATCCTTCTATACCATCTTTTTCAACACTATCTTTTTCAACATCGTCTTCTTTTTCGCTATCTTTAACATCATCTTCTTCAACACTGTTCTCTTTTTCACTGTCTTCAACACCATCTTTCTTAACACCATCTTCTTCGATACCATCTTTTTCAATACTATTTTCTTCAACACCATCTTTTTTTTTACTGTTTTTTTCATCTTCTTCAACATCTTCCTCAATATCTTCTTCAAGCCATTTTATACATACTAGTATTACTAGGAAGAATGAATTATTAGAAGCAAAAATCCATGTTCTAAGGAGAAAAAATATGCTACTAAAAGAAAAACTTAAAACGTTTAAAAATTCTGATACCTGCACATTAAAATTAGCCCTTAAATATCCTACTTCTCGAGTTCCAATGCAGACAGATGAATCAGTTTCCAATTAGCCAAAGAAAAGAAAAAACTTCTCTTTCAATTGACTTCTTACTAATGAAGAATCTCTACAAATGTTAAAAGAAATGAACGAGTTAGTGAAAAATAAAGCAGAAAGTACAAAATAAAGAAAAGAGAAGGCAATCCAAAAACGAGCTGATCGGGAAGCTGAAAAAAAGAGAAAAAAAGCTGAAAATAAGCGAAAAAAAGAGGAACGATTATGTAAAAAAAGAAAAGATGATCATGCATAATTATACTTATCATTATCTGTTTATTGATATGTATTCTGTAATTCTGTAATATGTACATACGTATCGACATTAATTCGACATATCCGATATGCGTCATAATATCTCTCAAATGTAAAAAACATAGCATTTTTTGAGTAGATTTTAAAAGATAATATTGCAATCATTTTTTATAAAAATGGATTTTTTTTTTTTATTGATAGATAGGTAATTCGATGAGCAATCTATTTCAATAAATTTCAAGATTAAATTTATTTTTTCTGGAAACTTTTATATAAGCAATGCTTAAGTGCATCATAATACCCTCCCCTCCCTTATGTGATGAATAGCATCACACAATTTTAGCAATAACAATATGGAAGTAAATACCTTATGTAATATTATTCATCACATAATTTGAGTAACATTGCTAACTGAGAGGTATTATTTTTATAAAAAAAATTGTTGATATGTAGTCACATTACACTAGTGATGGTTACAGTAACCGTAGGTTACAAAACATTTAATTCAAATTTTTTTATTCTTGACAATTTAGAACTTCGATTAATTCAAATTTTTTTATCCTAGACAATTTAGAACTTCGATTAACCAATAAAATTTTTATTATATCACTGGAAAATCTACAAAAATTGACCAATCACAATGAAAGCCCGCTATGCTAGCTTGAGCACCTTTAGGTTTATTATTTAAATTCTTTGACAAATTCGAGTAAAAAATCCCTGAACTGGATATCTGAATTTAAGGATCACTCCAGATGAACGGATTTAGGATCTGGACAAAATGACATTCTTTTATGTGATTTTTGTTTACTATCATGATTTTACTACAATCACATTGTACATAAATAAATCCATAACGGCTGATTTTGATAAATAATTCCCAATGACGTACTTCATTAGACATATGAGATTATATATAATTGACGCATCCTAACCTGGGGAGATTAGATTTCCTTATCGATATGCTTAACATAAATAAATTTTACGTATACAGAATGTATACAGAAATGTCTTGTACGACAAATATCTGGTTCGCCTTCAAACTACATGTCGATATTGGGCATTTCGTTATACGTATAAATAAACTGATATTTCGTTTTATTTATTTTCTGCTCTTAGGACTATCGCTAAATATCAAAGATGGACTGTAAGTTTTATTTCGTTTTTTTTAAGAATTTTATCGTACAAAATTTATATAGCCTATTAAGATAGATTAAAAAATAATTGTTTCAGTACGATTATTAATAATTTATACAGTTTATATTTTGCGCTAATTAAAATTAATTGTTTTATAACATGAATCGTCCGTAAATCGGTCGGATAGGTGAGTAATAATATTAAATCAAAATATTATTGTGCGTTTGACTAAAATCATATAATATCCTATTATAAGTTTTATCGAAATATGCTGGCAAATTTTCACTTCCTGATCATTCTGATGATGATGCTGGTAAATTTAAAATTTACAAAACTATCAAATAGTGTACAATATTTAAATAATAATTTTATATTATTCGTAAATAGAGAAATACCAAAAAATTGCAGAGAAAGCTCATAAACATTTAACATCTACTGGAGGACATGAAGCAGAAATTGATCATGAATCAGTTCTTGACAAACATAAGAAAATTTATGAATCGGTTCGTTTTAATAACATTTTTTTTAGTTAGTTTTCCTATTTTACTATAATTCGATCTTAACTTTACAGGGAAATGTAACGGAACATTCTGATGAAGAACTTGGTCACGCAGCAGCTTTTGAAGCATTGAAAAAAATGTGTAGCAGTGGATCATATGATAAATCTGAACTTCTTTCATTGGCAATGAGTGAAGGCATGAAACTTTGGGAAAAAAGACAATCCTCTGGTGGTAGTAGTGATGGCGGAAAAGGTAATTTTTGAAGTAAAAAATCGTATAATTTTCGTTAATTGTAAACAGATTTAATATTATTTATTTTAATAGAGGAAATTTTGTCAGGTGCTGCATCAATGGCGATGAAGCTAATGCATAAAGGTAAAGATGATGATAGTGGTAGCGGTGGTTTAGCCAGTTTGGCAATGTCATATTTTAAATAATATTACTTTAAAACTTATTGATTTAATTCATTAAAAAGTTTTATTAAATGTTCTTCGAAAGCGACCAATAAAAAAAAAAATTGGCAAAACCTTGATAGTTTTGTATTTTAAAAATATATCTTCTTTAGATAGTATATATTGTATATAGGAAATAATTAGATCGGTCCATTAATGTTTTTGGTTTAAGTCTAAAAACTTATTCGTTTTATTGTTATCGCCTAGTAAGAAAACTTAAATAATATGACATCGGTGATTGAAATAGGCAATTATGTAGCTTTTTTTTTACAGGAACATGAGGCCGGAACTTGATTTTTAGCCAATTAGATTGAAGTATCAGGTGTACCGCCTTTTTTAAAAAAAAAATCGTGAAATTTTGTCTATGAAACAGCTTCTGCGTTCTAAAAAAAAACTTGCGAAATTTTGGTATATACTATGATTTTCCTTGGCCAAAATCCAAACCCAAAAGTACCAGTTTGAATTTTTTTTTTGTAGGTATAATTTGATACATCGCATAGGTATTCTGTGCCAGGCTATGTCGACCATGTGGTGCAGGCAAATTTTTTGAAGTTTATTAATGTTAGGGTTAGCATTTTGAAAGTTGAAGGTTATATAGTTATACGTATAATAAAATCATTCAAGAAAAAACTTTATTTTATGAAATTTCAAAATCGTGTTACGTTACACCTGATCTTGAAATCTGATTCGCAGTTCGATCACATGATCGATATAACCTGACACAAAAAACCTAAAAAATTTTATACTTTAAGATACGACAATTTTAATGACTGTCTTAAAGTTTTTATTTATTTAAATATAATTTTTTATTATGTTAATCTCTTTTGGGTTTTTAATAACAAAATAAAAATAAATTACAATTTTAATTTTTAATAGTAGCAAAATTATCAAGTTACTACTAAAAAATTTTAAAAAATTAAACTATTTGATACTTTGAGCAAATTCATATATATATATATTTATTATTCTTTAAACTGTATTTTAGGCAAATTTGTCTAAAAAATTAAATTGTATTTAGTATTTTTTAAATAAAATAATAATTTATTTTTTAAAATAGAAATAATTTATTTGTCACTGGTAGTAATAGTATCAGATTTTATTTAGAGTTATATTTAGAGTTAGAATAGATCATAATATATAATAAAATTATGCAAGAAATATTTTTTGTTAAGACACAGAAGTTGGTTTCATAAGCATAATTTTGAGTTATTTTGATTTGAAAATTTTGAGGTTTTTGAATCATGCAATCTGATTGGCCTGTGTTTGTCACTGCTGATAACAAATAGATTCGTTCTTTAAAATATTAATAGTAAGATCATGTTTTTAATTTTATTAAAATTAATCAAAATACAAATTATCAACTTTTTTTGATAATCACTTGTACTAAATTTTTTCTAAATATAATTATTTTTTATTAAGTAAACCTATTTTAGTTATTTAAATAAAATTGTTTTTAATAAGAGATGTAGCAACCTAGTGAAGTAGTTAAGTTATCAACTTTTCAAGTGATAGGTCGAGTGTTTGAATCCTATCAATAACAAAAATTTGGATAATTACTTATTTAATGCTTGTATTATGACAACTATTACTAACAATTAAATTAGAATACCTATAATAGTAGTTATATCAACATGACTAACAGTTTATAGAACATTTGTATAACCTGTTATATAGAGAAATACAAACTGGTACCAGACAATACAAACTTTAAATAAGTTCTTGTGATCATGTAAATCTGTTGAAATTAAGTAACAAGAAGTCTATTTGGGAAGACTTAAATAAAAAGATAGTTAGATCTTTAATAGCTTTACTGTAAAGGCTAGCTTAGAAAAATAAATATCAAGGTTATAATATCTAATTATAATATTTTAATGAACAAGAACCTTTAGATTGAAAGTCTCAGAAGTACCACTAACCAGACTGTCAAAATAAAGCAAAAAAAAAGAATATTAGACTGATCCAATATATCAATAAACTGGCTATAGTTTTATACAGACTATTTGGATTAGAAGTTTGATTAAAAAGCTGAACAAAAACAGAAATATACTAAAATACTAAGATTATACTGTAAAGTAAATACTAAGGTTTGTGTAAATTCTACAAAGGCATAGTAGTTAAATAATATAATTCTGACTGCAAATGTTAGTTCTACTATAGTGATATCTAAGTTAGCTATAAAAATAGGTACCGAAGACTCTAAGAGGTTTACCTCAATGATAAAATAGTTTTAAAGTTAAGATGATAATTTGAACATCTAAGTATGACAAAATAAAGTTAATACAAGTTACAGGTTTAGAAGTTTTAAAATAGAACATTCAAGCAGAGGTGTTAAGTATAATAATTAGTAAGAAAGCTTCAAGTAGACTTCTTAAATAGGTAATATAGAAAAGTTACACATATAGCTAATTGTATGCTCTCTTATAATGATTCATTAAATTACATTGTTAAAAGTTGTTAATAAAAGTTAAAAGACCAAAAAGGTTACTTTAATAAAAAAAATATATATTTTTAATAGAATTTTACATATAAGCAATCCAGTTTTATATCTTTACAGATATTTACTATTAGGATATAATTAATCTTTTTTTTTTTTAAACTTAAGCAATTATGTTAGTACTTTATTAAGATTTTTAGAATTACATTGCAATTACATAAATGTTTCTAATATCTAAGTTTAGTATTATCTACTTATCTAAACAGTACCTAAGTATGATCTATTACATTACTTCAAACATGTTAAGATATGTTGCTTATTTAACTACTTAAAGTTTAAAAAGAAAAAAATGTTTTTTTTCTTTTATAACAAACTTTAGTAATGTTTTTCTAACTTCTTTTTAGTTTATAAATTCTTTTTTTCTTAAGCTTGCTATTTGATTTTGCTATTAATATTTTGTGTATTGTATATAATTACTTTAGTTATTTTAGTTGATACTATTTTATAATACTTGTATAGTGTTTTTTCTATAGTGGTGTTGTATCTATTTTAGTATATCTTAGTCATTATTATTTAGATAAAATGTTCTATATCAGTTCTAAGAATAGTGATAGTTGTAGAATATAGTCTAGGATTTTTAAATTTTTAAAGTATTATTTAAGCATTATCAATGTAAATGTGATGTCTATTTGTTGTATAATTGGTAAACTAATATTTTTTTATTTATTTTATTTTTAAGCATTTCTTGTAATTAAACCAATATTAATATATAGAATTGTTGATTTATTTGTTACATTAGGTTAAGTGTTTGTTTCTTGTTATTTATTTAGTATTTTAATCCAATATGCTGATATTTAATCAAAGTAATAGTGTTCACAAAGTAGTCTAACTGTATCTACTAGTATTCTAGAAAATATAATTAGTATAATAATGTTGTATACTATAATTTTTGTACTATCATTTGAAAGTCTTGGTTTATTTGTTAAATTAGTAATCATTACTTTTTTGCTTATAAAAAACTGTATATTTTGTATTTTATTTTTGTTTAGTTTAAAAATTCTCTTGCTATATTATTATTAGTTATAGAATAGCTAAATTGAGTTTTAAGTTTTATGTTTTGTATATTTTTTAGTAACAATGGCTTTTGTATAAAAAAGTTATTTGGTAGCAGTTTAAATCTATAGTGTTTTCTTAATAAGTTAGTAGAAATAAATGTCTAACTCTGCTATTTAGTTTATAATATATAGTTGGTAATGACTCTTTGCTTGGTGGCAAATTGAAGTATGCTGCTGGGATTTTGTCAAACTTGTAATGATCAATTAGCTATCAAAGTTGCTTAGAATCTGTTATTAAAAAAAAAAGATTTTAGTTTTTCTTTAAGTTCTTATAAATTGTTAAATAGTTCAGATAATAAGATAAAATATAATTCTGATAAGATTGTAAAATAAAACAGAGTACATAATAAGCTTGCTATAGCTTGAGTTTGTAATCTTTTAATAATTGCAGTTCAAAAAATATAATTGTTATAGTTTTAATATCAATTTCTGATAGTTTGCTAGGCAAAGAATATTGTAATATACTATATGTCTAATTAATTTTATTTTGTAATTTTTTCATATCTTTAATTGGCTGTATCAAATAAAGTTATAACAGTATTTAACTATTTTGTAAACATCATTTGGTTTGCTATATCTGAAATTAAGATTCATCAAATATTCTATTATAAGTTTTGCCTTAGTATTTGTTATATAGTATCTTGAGTTTGCTTGTTTGTTAGTATAATTCTATTTTTTTCTTTGTACTTTTTAACAGCTTCTCTAAATAGATTTGTAAATTTAATTTAATGAGCAGGTATAGTTTGTCTATTTGTTATAAAAAATATAAAAAAGACTAGATTTAGATCTTTAAATTTAAGGTATATTGCTGCTAAGATTTGGTGTTTTGTTGGTTGTATTTTTAATTTGTACTCTGTAAAGTTTTTTATTTCTGTGATGCTATTTAATATTGTAATCATTTTGTTCAAAGACCAGATTGTCATATCAAATTTTTTAAATCTAGCTATTGTGTTATATGCTTAGTTCAACTTTGTATTTATGTTGCAATTGTATTATCTTTAGCATCTATTAGATTTTTTATATTTTGTTTTAGTACATAACTGTAAAACTTGTATTAATTTATATTGTTGTTTTTATTTGTATTGTAATTTTTAGATATAGGTCTATTTTAATACTATTTACATGCATCTGTTTTTCTATATTTTCTATATTTAGATTTTTGTTGTTTTTTTTTTTTTTTAAATATTAAGATAACTACTTGTGACTTAGAATTTTATTGATAGTATATTTGGCTAATGATTGCATTACAACTACAGGAGGCAATTATAAATAGAGTGTACAATTAATCACTCATACAACTTTAATCATTGTTTAATTTAAGTAGTCCACCCAAAGGTTTTATATTAGCTGTTATACCTGAAACTTACTTGTAGTTTCTTTATTTAACTACTCTAGTTTCTGTATCCATCTATTTACTTCTGCTTACTAATGACTCTGGCTAATGCTAGTAAAAATATATCATAACCACTAAGTCTTTAAAGCAGTTTTTTGGAACCTTTGATCTTGTACTAAACCTTCTGTATTCTATTCTTACAACTAACCTGGTATCACTATAGTTGAGACTAATACTGGCAATTAGAGCATATCATTAAACTACTATGCTCTTGTAGAGTTTACCTCAATCCTAGTACTGACTTCATAACATATCTTTACTATTTTGGTATTCAATTTAAGTTTTACAAAGCTGCTATTTTAGATAGCTCAGAAAGGTAGACCATAACTATACCTCTGGTTTACATGTTTATTAGCATGTATACTTTTTTTCTAAAATTCAAAAATTCTGGCAACCTGGTTGGTTCATCTGGTTTCCCCTTAAAGACCAAAATATTTGTCTAGTTTCACAAGTTCTAGCTTAATTTCATAGGTTTAGTCTTTACAGTAGCATTGTCAAAAGTTTAGATTACCTTTCTACTTGGGTCTTCCAAGTAGGCTTTCATCTTTTTATCTGGTTCCTGTAATTTACATGATCTAAGAACTTATCTTGAGTTTATACTGCCTAGTATTAGTTTGTGTTCCTTTATACAATATTGTATAAATGCCTAAACCTTCTAGTCATGCTAATATAACATAGGTTACAGATATTTAATTCCAACTAATCACAAAAGACAGTTAACTATAATACAAAAAGAATTGCAAATTTTTACTATTACTGAGATTTGAACTCTAGACCTACTACTTAGAGGTTAACAATCTATCTACTTTACTAAGTTATCATACCCCATTTTTGTTATCTATAGTCATGTTATTTGTATTATTATTATTGTTTCTAATTATAGTTTTTGTTGTTTTGTTATATAATATCATTGTAAATTTTGTTAGAAATAAGCTATTTTGCCTATTTTTTGAACTTTTACATAATATTTGGAAGAGTATAAAGAGTTGAAACATCTTTTTTTGATTGAATATAGTTTGTTTCTGTGTTATAATTGTTCTTTTTTGTCTTATAAATATTCATGTCTTGTTTATTGTTTTTTAATATATATATAGATATATATTTTGCTTTTTGTTTTTGAAACAAGTTGACTTTTACTAAGTCTACAGAGAACTGGTTTTTGATTTTGTTAGCTTTAATGCTTGTTTTTTTTAATTAGTATAGTAGTTGATATTGTTGTAAGAATTTGTTTTTTGTATTTGTGTTTGTTTCTTTGTATATTACTTAGTTTATTTAAGTTTTATTTATTATATTTTTCTATTTTGTTTATTTTTTAATAATTATTGAAAAGAGGGTATAATGACCTAGTGAAGTGGTTAGATTGTCAAACCCTCAAGTGGTAGGTTGGGTGTTCAAATTCTATCAACAGCAAAAATTTGAATAATCACCTATGTAATATTCATATTATAGCAACTGTTACTAATAATTAGGTTAGAATATCTGTAATAGCAGTTACATTAGTATAACTGACAGGTCATAGAGCATCTGTGTAAGTATGGCATTATACAGAAAAATGCAAACTGACAAATTAGGCAATGCAAACACTATATAAGTCCTTGTAGCTATGTAAATTTATTAAAATTAAGTAACAAGAAGTCCATTTGGAAAGATTTAAGTAGAGAGATAGCTGTATCTTTAACAGTCTTACTGTAAAGGCTAGCCTGGAGAAACAGATACCAAGGTTATAATACCTAGTTGTAGTAGTTGGTTGGGCAAGAACCTTTAGGTTGGGAGTTTTGAAGATACCACCAACTAGGCTGTCAGAACAAATTATAGAAAAAAGATATCAAGCCAATCTGAAATACTAATGAACTGATTATAGTTCTATACAGGCTATCTAAATTGGAAGTTTGGTAAAAAGGCAGATAAAAAGACAGAAGTATATTAATTACTGGAGTTATGCTATAAAGTAGATGCTGAAGTCTAAGTGAACTCTACAAGGGCATAGCAATTTAATGATTAGCCCTAACTGCAAGTGTTAGTTCTGCTATAGCGATATCTAGATCAGCTGTAAAAATAGGTACAGAAGGCTCTAGAGGGTTTATCTTGAGGATAAATTAGTCCTAAGATTAAGATAATGATCTGAGCATCTGGATATGACCTAGTGAGTTAATACAGATTACAGATTCAGAAGATTTAAAGTAAAACACCCAAGCAGGGGTGTTAGGTATAGCAATTGGTAGTGAACCTTCAAGCTGACTTCTTAAATAGGTAATATAGAAAAGTTATATGTATAACCAATTGTACTCTCTCCTGTAGTGGTTTATTGAACCACAATACCAATAAGTAATTAATAAAAGTCAAAAGACCAAAGAGGTTACCTTAATTAGAGATGTTAATCAGTCCTTTGAGATCGGGTTTTATCTGATCCTTTAAGGAATTGGTCAGGATCTGATCCTTTAATTATATGGTATAATGTGATTTTTTCATAAGACTCTGATTCTGAATTATAATCCCTTTATAAATTCTGAGATCTGCTTTAACAACATTTTGGTTAGCATTAATCCCTTAATGATAAAATAATTAAATAATAAATAAATGGCTTGTTAAAATAATAAAATAATGAATAAATGTCTCATTTTAAATTATCATAAAAAGGTAGTATACTTTGAATAAATCTTTAATCATGAGCTTTTCCTTAAAAATCCTTTCAATAAGGTGGCATGTCTTTAAATTTAATAAGACTTGCCTTTAAAATTTTTTTTTTGCATAAATGTTTAATAATAACAAATATGTTTTTTAAAGCTGAATCTTAATAATGAAACTCAAATCTTCACAATAAAGGCAGTATGTCTTCAAATCGTTGAACTTACCTGATTTAAATATTTAATAAAGCAATTGTATCTTCAATGTTAAACCTTTCATAACTCAACTAATAATAAAAGTGAAAAGTTTTTTCTAATTTAATCTTTACAAAAAGACACAGTATGGGATTTATCATTTATATAGTTAGAACCCAAAGATGGTTTTTTCTAGTTCCAATCTTTACAATAAATGTAAAATAGAATTGACAATTAATAAAAATGATTGTATGATTAAACAACAAAGGCAATAATATGCTGTAATAATAAAGGCTATATGTCTTTTCTTCAATTCAAATCTTCATAACAAAGATGACATGTCTTTAAAAAGTTAATACTTGTTTTATTTGAAATTTATTTAAAAGTAACATTTTTAAACAAAAAATCAAAAAAAAACTAAAAAAAAAAACATCATGGAGACCATAGAAATCGAATCTGAACCTAGTACAGAAACCATGCCTAAAACTATGCCTGAAACCATGCCTGAAATTATGTCCGAAACTATGCCTGAAACTATGTTTTTATTGAGTAATGTAAAAGGTCAAAGGTGAAGATATATGTTACAAAGCAATTGATCACCAATTAGAGACTACTTGTTACCAACCTCTAATGAGGGCAATCGATGTGAAGTATGTAACCAAATCTTTGACAAGTCGATGGCACTTACAACAATAAATAGGCATTTTGAAAGATTCTATCCTATATATTATTCTACAATAAAGCAATGCAAATTTAAGCAACTTAATCTGTATAGCCCAAATGATAGATTAAGAGTTGATGCTTTAAACAAGCATTTATTAGAATGGATAGTAATCAATCAACAATCTTTTTTGTTAGTTGAAAATGCAAGTTTCATAAATTTTATTCGAGAACTTGATTCACATTACAGGCTCCTATGTCATCAAACACTTTCAACTTGGATCAACAAAGAATATGAACTATATAAAGATACAATTAAAATCGTTTTAAATCAGACTTCTTCAAAACTTTCAATTACAATGGACAGATAAACATCTTATACCAAGCAACTATTTATCAGCATAACAGTACATTGGGTAGATTCTACATAGGAATTATGCCGAATCTTACTTGATATTATATCATTCAATAAAAATCATACTGTGATAAACCAAGCTAACCTAATTATTAGGATTTTAAAGAAAATAGATATTGGCAAGAAACTTTTGGGCATTACTACAGATAATGCAGCCAATATGTGCTCTATGGGAAGGATTTTGCAAAAGAAAATGCTTTCTGAGTTTAATAATAATGGTGTGCAACATTTTCATTGTAGTGCATATATTCTAAACCTTGGCATAGAAGAAGGAATTAAAAAAGTTAGTAAAACTTCGAAATTCATCTTCATTACTTCGAGAACTAAAAAAAATTTGTGAAATGAAAAATGTTTCCTTTTTAATGCCTGAAGCTGATATGAAAACTCGTTGGAATAGCTTGTATCTTTTGCTAGAAAAACTTTAAAAACTCCATTCCGTAACAGATATTCTTGTTGCAAGTAACAAAACATTGGACCAAAGTTATCCTATAGTGCAAGAGTGGAAAAATGTTTGGGTTAGTAATTTTCAAAACATCATTTATAAATATATAAATATATATATTTATATTAATAAATATAAACTACAGGACCTAATAATTATTCTTGAGCCTATATATCATGCAACCATGATGCTATCCTCTTTAAAATTTTCTACTCAAGGCGATCTATGTATGATATTCCAAGGTCTTATTAGGCATCTAACCAATTATACAAATTCAGAACTTACTACTCAATCTGCAATGTCCAATGCAATAAAAACTAAGCTTGAATCGTATTGGTGTTATCTAAACAGGTAGGGCTGCATTACATATATATTCAAGTTTTGTATACATACTGCATATATAACTTACACAACTACATATTTCTATAAATAGGTCGTCAATAATTTCAGACCTTCTTGATCCTTATAACAAGCTTGCAACATATGAATCTGAGAATCGTAAAACTGCAATTAATATGCTTCATCAAGTGTTTGAAAAGTATGAACCAGATGGAAAAAATAAGCCTTTACTATCTGAAATAACTACTACTAAAACAGCTTGAAATTTCTTTTATGGTCTTATCACAAATCTTATAGTCTATTCAGATCCTAATGAAATTATAAAATATTTAGAAGAGCCAAATACTGAAGTAGAACCACTTCTATAATAGAAAATGAATTCAAATCAGTATTCTATGTTATCTAGAATTGCTATGGATTATCTTACAATTCAATCAACCAATGTGCCTTCTGAACAGACATTTTCTGTAGCCAAATATACCATTTCTCTTATCTGCAATTGTATTGATGCTGAAATAGCACATGCATCACTATGCCTTAAAAGCTGGTATAGTGAAGTGCTATTAAAATAAACAAAAAAAAATAAAACAAAAAAAAAAGCAAAAAAAAAAAGCAAAAAAAAAGCAAAAAAAAAAGATTTTATAGTTTAGTAGTTATTGATTGTATTGTCATTATCCAGTTTAAAATAATTTCTAGTTGTATTTGAAGTCTTTTTACTTTTTTTTTAATTTTATATTAGAAATTTTATTGATGTTATTTTTCAGTTTATATAGCAAAGTTTTTTTACCACATTGTTTTTTTTTTGTTTTTCATATATTCTTTTATATGGTTATTCATATATGAATTTTGATTTGAAATTTTTTGAATCATTAGATAGATTAGATTTTTAAATAAATAAAGTTTTAACAGTTCAAAATATAAAAACGAAAGGTCAAAAATTTTATTGAATAGACTTATTTAGAGTATTAAAATTCAGAGGATCCGATCCTGGAATTGATTGATGGGATTTAAGTCTAGGATGATCCTTTTAGGTCCTGGAATTAGGCTGGACCAGATCGACATTTTAACATTCCTAACCTTAATATTAAAAAAAAAATTATTGAAAAAAAAAGAATTTGATATAATTAAACTTTGTAATTTTCTTTTTTTTATAAAAACTTAAGTTTATTAAATAAACTATACTTGTTATATAGAACAAAGTTGTTTAGAAAGATAGTAATTCTAATATAATAAACAAGTTATTATTTTTCAAATAACAGATCTAATATTCAAATCTTATTTATAATGAAATTTGAAAATTATATTTGTATTACAACAAACTGTTTCTTAATAATTAGTTAGATTGACATATCTGTAACCTTTAGTTACACTATTTTAAATAAGAGTTTGGAGCATTTATTTTTTTTATTTTATTTTTTAAGTTAAAGTCCCTATCTTGGGAGTTGCGATGTTTTTATTCAAGTATATTAGGACACGGCATGCCACCAAGAGCTCA